TTCTATACCCTTTATGGCTCCTGTGGTGTATCTGGTCTTCCCTGACCCAGAGCTCCTGCCTCCCCTGCCTGCTAAAATAGAGAGGGCGCTCCCAATCTGTCCCTCCTGCTCCACCTGTCAGGATGACTGCAAAATAACCCTCCCAGTCCAGTCACTCACCTGGGAGACTCTGAGGGCACTGCCTGTCCCAGTATCAAGCAGTCTCCCAGCCCCAGCAAGGGGTCTCTGCTCTCCTAGGTCTCTCCCTGAGTGATTTGGGATGCTCATGCTGCACCAAGACCCAAAGCAGAACTCTAGGGAAAGACTCCTGGCCATGGCCATGCACAGTCCATGGACTTGACCCAAGGTGGAGATCCAATGATCTCCATGCCCCTGCTCCTGTCTCCTCTGGATTTTCCACTTGTCTCTGTCTTCTTTGGGTTCCCTGCCCAGTCATCAGGACCCTGTACCTTCTATTCCCCTGTTTTGGGCTAAGTAGGGATGATGGGTTAGAAAGAGAGAGAGAGGATGGGGAGAGGAAGCAGAGCTGGGGGTTCTAGAAATGAGAACAAGGGAAGATTTTTTTTTCCAGAGCACTGTGGAGAAGTGGGCACAGCCCCCCAAACCCTGGAAATCTTAGGTATGAGGCAGGTGAGAGTTAGGAGCTCTGCAGACCAGAGTCTTTCCTGCCACGAGGAGATGGTGGTGAAAAGAAGCAGATACTGCCAAACACAGCTGAAGTCCCCCGCCATCCCCAGCCCTTGTCCTCAGGGGTGAGGGAATGGCTCTCCTTGGGCTGACTCCCCACAGCTCTGCCTGCCTCCTGGGGTCTGGCGGCATCCCCACTGATAATGGGGCAGAGGGGATGTGAGGAAGAGGAGTGTCTCCAGATGATAGGAGTGGAGTCCTGTCATGGCTGAGCCCCTTCAAATGGTGACACAGGGTGGGATCTATCAGCATGGCTTATGAATCTCCTCTGAGCAGACTCTGTCCAGAGCTCAGAAAGGAGATCCAGGGAGAGATGTGGCATCACATCACACAGAGGGCCCCAGACTTCTCTGACACATGAGGGCTGGCAGAAAAAGTAAAGAGAGGTAGAGGTAGCCACTGAAGCCTTCCTGGAAGAAGAGGCATTTTAGGCCAGAAAGAGAAAGAATACCTTTTGTAGGAGGGTCTATGCAGAGATTGGAAAAGAGGACCATGTTTAGAGGAAGGAGTGGGGTCCTGTGAGGTTAGTGAAACCACAGTTGGGATGGCAAATGTCCTGGAATAAAGCCAGAGAGGGATGGGTGGTGGGTGGGGAATGGAGGGGAGAGCATGGGGGGCCAGGAGGGCCCAGTTAGAGGGAGGTTGGGTGCCAATAAAATGGGTGCCATTAGGTTCTCTGTCAGGGAAGAGGTGTGTAGAGAAATTGATTGCACATCCGTCTAGCTTTGCCCTGGCTTGACAGGTGGTGGAGCCTGGTGTCAGGGGCTATTGTTTTTCCTTTCTGCTTCCAAGGCCTCCCTGAGGCCTGGTGTGTCTGGGGAACTCATGGTCAGGCATGCTACATTCTCCTGTCAAGGAGGATGAGAGCAGGACTCCAGAGGGCCAGGTGTG